CAGGCAAGGTTTATCTCCTCTTAGTGAAATAAAGTAAAGTTACAAGTATTGCATTACCTTTCCCGAACTGCCTCAGAAAAGGGTATAGTTTCTTGACAACATCTAACAGAAGCTATACTTCCCTCTTAGACACCGCATATACCCGTAAAGGATTCCTTGTGCCGTGTCGTTGTTATAGTATGAAAATTAAGAAGGCTTTCACCTATAACAGTATATTAGTCATAAGTATATTAGTTATAAGATATTAGTCATAAAGTATATTTAAATAATGTATAATATCAAATAAATACTTAATCAAAGTAATAGTAAGCCAAAATTATTTTTAACAATATCACAAAGAAAAACTTATAAATTTATTAATTATATTAAAGTTTTTGATAAAAAAGCAGATAAATAAAGAAACTATGCAATTTGTTATGTATAATATAATGCAATTATAAAGCAACTGCTATACTTAAAAAGTTTTTAAATAAAAGTAAATAAGCAAAAAATTATTTAAAAAAATATCAGTATTTTATTAAGAAGCAAGGAAGTATAAAAGCAGCATTAAAAATGTTGAGTATTAATTTAGAAAAGATGAATAAAAAGTCAAATACAGACAATAATGCCAAAAGACTTTGAATAAAAAAAGCTAGTAAGTATATTTAATTTAATAGTAATTTTATAATATGAACCTTTTAATAAAAATTTTTTTATAGATAAAGAATCATTAGACAAGTATGTAATTCAGTTATTAACTAAAAAAAACAAAAAAAAATTAGAAACTTTTTTACTTTATATAATAGTTTTTGCAAAATTGTTATTACAATAAGTGTAAAATAGAAAAGTTCAAAAGTTGTTTTAGTTTTTAAATTCTACTTTAAAATTACTTAGACATTGAATATTAGACAAAAGAATTTTAAATCATAAAATAAAAGAACTTGAAAATAATATAATAATAAAACTTAAAAATAGCTCTGTTGGACTAATACTTGCTTTTAATAGTTGAACCAACATAGTTAATTAAAATATTAAGAAAGCAGTTTTTATTACATTTAAAGAAGGATATTAGTTTGAAAGAGAATAGATATTAGTAATAAAAAAGAAAGATAGAAAGATGTTATAAAAAATATTAAAATAATGTTTACTGAAATTAGCTAAATAGAAGTAAAGCTAACTATAGTTGTTTGTGATAGTGCATCTTTTTATATTGCAGCAAGATATATAATAAAGTTAGGCTTATATTATACTTTTAAAAAATTAACTTTTTAATAAATTTAAATATCATCTTGAATTAAAATATATTGATATTTCTTTTTTACTATACTATGCTTATCAAATAAACTTATTTGTAAGTAAAATTGTTAAAAAGTCTACTAAATTTTGTTAAGCAGTAGTTAATGCAATTAAAATAGCAGTTTATTTTTACATAGCATAGCATAAGGTAAATGCAGATATTTTGACAAATATGGGTATTTTAACGAATTGAACATATTACAATAAAACATAGTTTTTTATTAAGTAAACTGAACCTTATTTACTAAGTAAAGTTGTTCAAAATGTTATCTTTTACTTATTTTCAAATTTTGATGTAGCATGAATAATCTTTTATTAATAGGCTTTTTCATTATATGTTTCGGTGCAGTAAATTTATTTTCTGTGCCAAAATGTGTAACAAAAAAAAATTCAATAAAAGGTTATTCATATTATACCAAACTTTGAGAATAAGTAAAATATAACATTTCAGACAACTTTACTTAGTAAACGAGGTTCAATTTACTTAGTAATAAGTCTTATTTTTTGTATAAAACAATTCTTAACAAAAATTTATATACTATGTAGTATATTATAATAGTGATAATTATATTGATATTGATCATCTAATAATGACAAAAATTAATTTATTTTTGCAATATTTAATAAAATCAAGGTTTAAAATCCTACTTGAATTTAAAACAGAATAGCCTCGAATTTAAAGCAGAAACTAATAGTAATATACTGCTTCCAACCAAGTTCAAAGAAAATACAGTAAGTTTCTGACAATTATCATTTCAAGAGGTTTTTTCTGTCAAAAGCATAAACATTAACAAAATTCGAATATTAAAGATTAAAGCATAAATTGTATGATAGTTTTTAATATATTTAGCTATAAAAAAAATAACACATCTAAAGTTTGTATTAATGAAACTGATTTAACACTTTTGCTTGATATCAGCTATGTAATCCAATATGAAGCTTATATTACTGACTTAGGTTTATCAATATCATTTGATAAAAAAACAAGATGGTCATATTTATAGTGTTTTTTTATATTTAGCTCCTGAAGTCTTGCAAGGAGAATATTTCACCAAACTGCTAATATTTATATTTTGAAATTATTATGATAGAAATATCAATTGGTCTTTAAGAATAAGCAAGTGAAATAAAGAATTTTTATATGTTTAGGAAGTTTAGAATTTACAATGATGCTATTTAATTTCTCAATTGTTCATAATCTCAATTACTTTTGATTCTATAATCTCAATTATCTCTGGTTTCATAATCTCAATTTTCTCTGATTTTATAATATCAATTACCTCTGGTTTCATAATATTAAATGCTTCCAGTGTCTGGTTTCATTCAAAAATTGGCACTACCTTTTCTTCTTTTGTGTCTCATCTATTTTAAAATTAGGTTGTAGTTTATATTAAATATATTTAATAGTGGATTGTTGTTCATATTGAACATAGTGAATAGTGGGTTGTCATATATATTGAATATTGGGTTGTTTGAATTTTTTCCTTTTTGATAAGTAATGCCTGGGTGGTATTTTAAATTTATTGAATTAAGAAAAAAAAAATCTTGAGCAAGTGTTGTTTAATTATATAATAAAGAATCTAATTATATAATAAAGAATCAGCAAATCCAAAATTAATGTTTTTTATGAAATACTGGCCTTAAAATTGATTGCATTTGTATGTACTATCAATTATAATGAATGCATGATTTGAAAAGATTATCAAAATTAATGAATTTTAATTAACAATAATCATAAGCAAATATTCTTTCTTTAATAAAAATAATTATTAATGTTAAATTTGTGCAATTGCAGAAATTTTTTATTGCTTAAACAATAAAAAATTTTGAAGTCATATAAAAATCACTCACAGTGAAATACTCTTTGTTTAAGGATATAACAAAAATAGTGATTATGCTTTACATGATGTATGTATATATGTACATACCATCCTAGATTTATTAAAGATGAATGCAATAATGATGATTGCTTTTATTATTATTAAGATAAGTATTAAACTCAAAAAAAAAATTAAAACAAAAAGTGCTATTATATAAATTTTTCTTTTTAATTATAACTGTTATTTTACTGCTTCCTGCATAGTATTGCATAAAACCAGGCAATTGTATATGCATGATTCTAATTTTACAAAAATCAACAATCTAATTCAAAAGGTTATTTCATAATTATAAAATTGTTTACAGGTTTCTTTTATTATATCTTTTTAGTAATGAATTCATTGCAATTAAAAACAAAAACTATTATTGTCAAGTGTTTTATAATGCTAAATTTGATATACTGTAAATGCTTTTGTCATTTTTTCATATTAAATAAAAATACTATTTTAAAATGATATAAAATTAAACATTTTGGGTTTCGGCATTTTAGTAAAACCATCTATTTTTTTTTATCTATTGAATGAATATTTTCTATTAAGAACTAAACCTCATATCAACTCATTTGTTAATATCTTTAAAAAAAAATGCCAATAAAAATTATTAAAAAAAACAAAACCAAAAAAAATATAAAAAATGTAAAAAATCAAAACTTTCCCCAAAAGATTATCATATTGCAATTGAAGCTACCCTTAAAGAACTTGCAGGTCCCATGAACCCTAGTGTGAATTTAACTGCTTTACAGTTTGGAATTTCAGAAGCAACACTCAGGCATGCTGTTAAAAATGGTTTGTCTAAATGTACTAGACCTAAAATAATCTTAAGCGAACATAAAGAAGAACAGCTAGTGGATTACTGTAAAAATATGCAAAGGTTAGAATTTGGATTAACAAAATTAGATGTGAACCACTGCATAATGGAAATAGTTTGTAATAACCATCATGCTCATTCTTTTGCAGCTAAAGGGCCTGACAGAACTTGGTGGGACTGTTTTATGAAAGATCATTCAGACTTATCTTTTCGAACATTCCAAGCCTTATCTAAAGCATATACTCAAAAAGCAAATCCAATAATTATAAAAGATTGTTTTAAACAACTACAAAAAATAATCAAGAAACATTCACTCACTGCAGAATATGGATGAGACAGAATTTGTCATTGCTTCTAAAGTTCAAAAGGTTCTCATGACAAAAGGTTTGTATTAAAAATAGAAATTTTAATTACTAATTAATCAGTAATAAATGTTGCTGTTGATGCTAAAATATAAGGTTCTAATTAAAGGTACAAACATATTTATATAATAAAGTTGTAATTAGGTTATAATTAGGTCATAATTAAGTTGTAATTAGGTCATAACTTAATTATCTTAAAATAGGTCATAATTAGTTATAACAATATATTTATACCTCTAGTCCTAATTAAAAATTTAAATACTAGCCTTAAAAAAAATACATTCTAAAGACAATTAATTATCATGTAATTACTAATTTATAATTATCCAACTTTGTAAAAGGTGCTCACCAAGTTTACAAAGTCTCGCATAGGAATGTACATGAGCATATCTCTGTTGCATCAACAATTTCTGCAGCAGATGTTTGTATTTCTCTATTAATTATTTATAAAAGTGTTTGCACAATTTTAGAACTATTAGCTAGAGGGCCACTTGGTGCAATTATGAGCTTTACTAATACTGAGTATATGCAGAAAAGCCTTTTTTAAATGTACATTGAATATTTTATTAAATCAATTCCATCTACTCATTCAGTTTTATTAATCCTTGATGGCCACAAGAGTTATATGAACTACACAAGTGTTAAGTTCTGTCATGAGAATGAGATTTTACTTTATGCTCTTTCTCTACATATAACTCATATCCTTTAAGCATCTGAGCTTCCTTTTGCCAAACTCAAGATGGGGTATAATAATGGTTGTAAGAAACTACATTATACTAAGAGAGAAGTAGCAACTAAGTATACATTCACTAAGATTTTTGGGCCAGTATTCGCTGCAACTTATACTTCTAAAACAATTATTAATGCCTTTAGAACTACAGAAACTTGGCCTTTAAATCCTACTACTATTAGCTCTGATCATCTTGACACCTCTTTAGTAACAGAATGTGAGCTCTTGCCTTTATCTCATCAGATCATTCAGCCAACTGGAGAACCATCTTCTAAGTCATCTTCAACATTTGCATTCTCCTTCTTTAACTCTAACTCTAAGCCATCTTCAACATTTGCATCCTCTTCCTCTTCTTAACTTTTTTGTAAATACTTCACTAGAACCAGCATTTCCAAAGATATAGAGATGCTAAAAGTAGATGTTATGTTGCTTAAAAGAGAAGTCATCCTGTTAAAAAAAGAAAATAAAAAAACTAAAAAAAATTATAAATTAATAAGTGAAGAACTTGAGACCTTTAAAAATCCTGATATCTGTCCTTTGAAAATAGCACTTAAATATTCTATTTCTCAGCTTTCATCACAAACTAATGAACAAGAATCTTGCAAAGCTGTTGAGTCTAAATCCCAACCTGTAAGAAAAAGAAAAACAATGCCTTTTGCCCATCTTCTTACTAACAAGAATTCTTTGTGCAAGTTAGAAGCTGCAGAAGAGGCTGCCAAGTCTAAAGCAGAAAATGTAAAAAGAAAAAAAGAAATTGCTATCCAAAAAAAAACAACATGTGAATTAAAAAGACAAAAAAAAGAGCTGAAATAAAGTATAAAAAGGAAGAAAGAATACAAAAAAAAATGCTAAAGGAAAAAATAAAGCAAACTAAGTTCTTTTCTTTTAAATAGTTGTACATATACGTAAATAGTTATATAATAAGATCCTTAATAAAAAGATAATTGACAATAATATATAAGGTACCTAATTAATACTAATGTTAATAATTATCATGTTTATCAAAATACTTGCAAGGAAGTTAGAAATTATTGCTACATAGAGATTATTATATAATTTCTATAAAACTTGAATTTTTTGTTTTCTATATTATGAAGCAGATTCAAATATATATATTCCAAAAAACAAAAGCAAAGTTTTAAGTTTTTTGACAAACTTTTATTAGTAATAAATGTTAACTTTGTCAAAATACTTGCATTTATCTTAAGTATTTTATTGGCCAATTAAAAGATTTATAAAAAGAAATTTATAATAAATATATCTCATTAGTGATTAGTAATAATACATATTAAAACAGCTATTTAGAATGCTTTTACTCACTACTTAAGTCAAAATCTGCATTAAGGATATAAAATATTATAATTTAGTTTTATATTAATTATATTTTTAATACTTATATATATAGTTTTTTTTTTTAATGATATTAGATGCTTGCTTTTAAATTTGATCCTTTTGAACTATTAGATAATAATTCATTATATTGTAATAGAATTTACTTTTTTTTCTATATTAGTATATATTTATTTTTAGCTCTATATTATATTTTATATT